CCTCTTTTCCCCTGCTTCTCGTATTTATAATATGTTCTGTAACAACCACTTCAAACATTTCTGTTAGCCACCCATGTGTTTGTTGATTTTCTCCTTCGGCAATTTCCTTTCCTGCCCTCAGCCTTTTCTTGCATAAGGTATATTGAGTTGGATGGTGTCCTATCATTACTCGCCCCCCGAAATCCACCTTGTTCTCAAGGTGGAAGCTGTTGCAGTTTGCTCAATTCTTCATACAAACACACACTTTCCCTTGTAAGTACTACTACCATGGTCATCGCAGAGAAGGGACGTTTCAGCTTTTTGAAGTGAACAGATTTATTTAGTCGAGCAATTAGCACCAGTATAATATCCAAGGCAACTCGACATAATCTTCTCTCCTTTTGTTAGGCGTCATCTCCATCTTCTCCGATGTGTTTTGCAGCAGCGAGCTAGATTCAAAAACCTCCGACGGAGGAGAAATCAACAGCTCATCATCCTCTTTGATGGTGCCTTCTTGTTGAGGTGGAAGGAGCTTCCAGTTTGTGACCTTTTGAGACAAACCAAATGCAATCATCAAACCCTTCAATTCTCCCCAAGTTTTCACTGGCCTTTGTCAATCGACCTGCTGAAACGAATCCCATGCTTCGTCGCCAAAACACGCTATGACAGCCTCTATTTCTCTGCTTCCTGATAACTGATTTCTGGAGAGAATCTTCTCCACCTCCAACACCCACCATTTTGTGTTTTCACTGTAGAACATTGGTATTTTCAGTCTACCTTGTGCATCCAGCTCCGAATCTTCATCGTGATCTCCTTCCCTTTGCATTATTATCTTCTCCAACCGATTGAAGATCGAGCTCCATCTCTCCTCCAATTGTTTGCTGAAATTTGCTTCCATTGGCCCTAGGATCAATGCTCTGATACCAAATGTTAAGTTCCTGTATCAATTGGCTATCGAACATGAGGAAATAGAATAGTTATGAATGGAAACAGGATTCAATGATGCAACGAGACTGTGGATTTTATTGCTACACCGATATAATAGTGAAAAGATAAAATGAAATTAAAGCCAGGAAGCTAATCCATAAGCTAGGTAACTGTTGAAAAATATGGAGCCTAAATGTTAGGCTTTACAATTTCAATGGTGGCAGACACATTTCCTCAAAAGCATGGCAGCAAATGTTGAAAAAGAATGTGAATGGAAAAGTTGAAAACCATTTCTTGGAAGAAGTTTCTTGCCATGCATTTATGAGAGCCAATTTTGTTGAAAATGGATGGATATGCATTTAATGAGGAAGGTGAAATTTTTCCTATAAATTGGAGCCAAAGTAGGAGGAAAGTAGTGTGCCAAAACGAGAGCAAAAGAGAAGTGCAAGAAAATCGTGTAGAGTGAAAACACGAGAGATAGTGAGCAAAACACAAAGTGAGAAGCAGTTAGGCTTTCGTTTGTGTAGAAAATTAACGAGAGAAAATTGAGAGATTGTCTTTGCGTAGGCAAATAAAATACAGAGAGTGTATTTGTTGTATTCCTTTTATTCTCTTGTTGATACAGTAAAAGAATTGGTGTGGGTTTGTGGACGTAGGCACGATTGCCGAACCACGTAAATTCCTTTGTCACTTGCACTTATTATTTTTGCTACATTTATTTCTTCTCAATTCAAATTATTTTGCGTCCCACTGATCCTGACGGAATTAGTAGCGGTCTAATTTCCTAACAGTAACTTTTCTATTAAAGCAATGAAATACATGATGAAAAGATAATTGGACTTCCGAGAGGTCTAAACTCTCCCACAGACTTCTTCAAACCCCCCCCCCCTTTCCCTTACTTCCTGTATTTATCATATGTTCTGTAACAACCACTTCAACCATTTCTATTAGCCACCCATGTGTTTGTTGATTTTCTGCTTTGGCAATTTCTTTTCCTGCCCTCAGCCTTTTCTTGCATATGGTATATTGAGTTGGATAGTGTCCTATCAATGCAACTGCTCTGATTTTGGCTGCGAGGCTGGTCAGTTTTGCTATTAGTCACTATCAAAGAGGTTAGGGTTATATTCATATATATACTCTAGGGTTAGGCTTTAAGTTGAGCCATTAAAGGGGTAAACGGGCTAAGATTCAAGCCATCCATAAGGAAAACAATTGGGCCGGGTGTAGCTCATGGACTTGGTTGTTGGACTTATTTCATTCATCGGCCTATGCCTATGAAATAATATTAACCCACGTTAACATCATAGCCCGAGATTTATTGGGTATTAAAAACCCAACAAATCTCCACCTTGATGCCCAATAAATCTGCAAGCAATCAAAACACACAATTAACACTTGCATAATCAAGGTAGCCAATAAAATTGGGTCACAGACCTTACCTCGTGTTTCCAACTTGAAACACATACCATACCTGCTCCATGTACTCACTGGGGCTAAGGTCAAAAAACACCCAAGTAGAAGTAAATATTTAACGGTAAACAATCAAGAGCAAATACACATGCGATGACGATATACTATAGGATAACACACACAGATTTTTTCAGAAACATGTTCACATAGAACCATAGATTAACACCAAGTCAATCAAACCACGGTCAACCACATATGCAACACATACATAAATGACCCTAAGAAAAGATCTCATCACACTTATCCTATCACATTCCGTGTTGCTCACATCTCGAGAACACATATCTCCTCTCATCGCCTACCACGCTCACTAGACAGATCACACAACTCATGTCTAACTGGTGAGTCACAATAGATCCTAAGTCCACCGAATAATCCTCTATCTTCACATCACTTCTCCCAACCTACGTGGATAATGGGTCTCCACCTAACAGAAGTGATAGAAGTGTCTCTCTCACACTCCACCTGATCAGGGTCTCTTTCCAGATAAAGGATCCTAGACATTTGATCACATCTCCACTCGTGATCCAAATGTCACACTCTACATCCCTTGGTACAAACCACCATGTACCCTTAGGCATCTATACTCCACCTCACCAAAAGATACACAGCACACTGCTAATGCATCCTAACCCACTATGCATGCAAGCAATTACACCAAGTAATCCTAATGTCTCAAATTCATGCAAATGCACATATCAAACACATTGAGATGTAGCAAATAATTACGCAACAAAATTTAGACAATCACACACATGCAGAAAGGATCACACACAGATGCATATGCAGTGACTAGGTTTACACTCAATAAACCTCACTGGGGTCATAACTCGACCCCTCAACCAAATTCGTCTCACCTCTCATCTTTCCCTTCAGCTTATCTTTCTTCTTGGGACAGTCCCTAATAAAGTGTCCAGACTTACCACAACTGTAACACCTTTTACCACTAGACTTGTCTCGTCCCTTGCCCTTCTTCTTACTACCCTCGTCACTCGAGTCACTACTCGAATCACTACCGTCTTGAGTTCTACCCAAATTCATTTGCTTAAACTTCATCGCCACTCCTCTTATCCTCTTTTTTAGCCTTAATCTCCATCTCCTTACTCCTAAGTGAGTCTATGACAATCTCGGGTGTTAAGGTATCCCTACCATACTTAATTGCATTCTTAACTTCCCTATATGAGTCGAGCATGGAATTAAGCAGGATAATAGCCTTATACGTTTCAGATACCTCTTCATCACAGTTAACGATGTCTTGAACTAATTTGTTAAAGACATCCAGATTATCATCAAGATCCTTTGAAGGATCCATTTTAAAGTTGAAAAATCGTTCAAGCAAGTACAATTTATTAAGAGTTGACTTAAGCAAATATAAGTCCTCCAACTTTTCCCAAAGTTGTTTTGTAGAATCCAGTTTTCCTACTTTTTTCAAAACAGTATCAGATAGGTGTAAAATAATTGAAGTGTATGCAAGTTCATCATACTCTTCTTTTTCTACATCTGTTAAATTTGCAGGAAATTTGCCATCTATGGCCTTTGAAACTTTTTGTTGGACCAAAATACCCTTCATCTTTTGTTGCCAAATTGAAAAATCCCCTTTCCCATTAAAAATTCCAACTTCAAAGCGTGAAGACATTTAAAAAAAAAACTAGAACAACCAAAAGTACAGATAGGTCACAAAAAGTTATCCTACGGCCGCAATATACACCGTTCTAGATTTCCAGGGTTCCGTAAGATTCACAATCTTAGATCAAGGGAATATTCGAACGGGTCAAGTCCAGGTGTTCTAACAGGAAAATCAATGCAACACGAAGGTATGTAAACAAAAGTTCGAATTTCCACGCAACAAGCCTCACACAGTGACTATATGACAGGTAAAGCACAAAATCAACTACCAACTTGCAATCAAAACTCAACACTTCAAAAAACAGAGCAAATAATTCCTAAATTTTCTAGCACAAGCAATGGCAACCCCCAATCCTAACGATCACCCCACACGATGATCTGCTAATGCTGAAATTTAAAACTAAGTTAAGCCAATATACCAGAGCGGACTATCTGAGTCCGTAAATTATGAGAGTTGCGAATTTATCACTTTAGGACCACCACTATTCGTCCTAAAGTCTCTGAAAACTGCAGCAACCAAAAAATCACGATCGAGTCCCGAACGCCCAAAGAACAACACTGTCCAGATTCTTCTGTGTACCCTGAAACAAAAAACTTCCAACACGAAAAATGTCAGAAATAATATGAGGAACAAACTGCCTGAAGAGACCGTATCCAAATTCAGTCTCACGCGCGGCCTCTCTTCTCTGCGCGTGGGCCTCACGCGCCACCACACGTGCAGCCGTCGTCCAACACGAGCCGGCCTGCAGGGTTTTTCTCCTCCTGCACATCACGTCAGTGGTCTCCGTTTCCCCAAACTCCTTCTGGATTGATCAGAAAGCACAAAAAACGGAGACTGATTTTAACAATTTTTGGATAGCTTCTTCGATCTGATTTCTGCTGCGTTTCTGCCAATTTTCTTGACGATTTCTGGTAGATTTCACGAGCCAAAACCTTCACCTTGAAGCTCTGATACCAATTGTTGCGGAAGCTCTCTCAAAAGGATCTTCAAATGGTGGTTTTCCAGGCTCAGTCCAACGTACCTTTCTCTACCAACAACCAATCCAAACGACTCCAAACCACAACCAATTGATTCACCTTTGTTGCTATACAATCTTACCCACGTAGGACAAGAAGGGATGATGATTTATGGTCACAAAGGCTAGGAGAAGACACCACAAAGGTATACTATGAAAGAACTACCAATTGCACACGTTATACAAGCGTTTTGGACACTTCTGGACACCTTTTTCTCACACAAAAGGGGGGAAGCCGGGATTCACTAGTTTCTTCTCTCAAAATCACACAATCATCATATCAAAGAGGCTAGGGTTATATTCATATATATACTCTAGGGTTAGGCTTTAAGTTGGGCCATTAAAGGGGTAAACGGGCCAAGATTCAAGCCATCCATAAGAAAAACAATTGAGCCGGGTGTAGCTCATGGACTTGGTTGTTGGACTTATTTCATTCATCGGTCTATGCCTATGAAATAATATTAACCCACGTTAACATCATAGCTCGGGATTTATTGGGTATTAAAAACCCAACAGTCACTATAAAATTTTAGTGGTGGAATGTTGTTAGTGTTGTATTTCTTGCTTTTCTGTAGAGACCGGTTGCAAATTAGAGTGCAACAGATGGAAAATAACCCTGCATAGTATGGTCATTTTGCATACATGTTCTTCTTGCTTCCTTTTTTGGTATAATTTTTATTGCTGCCATAGAAGATAATATATTCTCAAGCAAAATTCTGTTATTGATGCAGTGATGTCTCAGATCAAAGCCATGGCTGAAGATATTCAACCTTTACTGGCAGAAGTTCACGATAGTGGTTTGCTGAAGGAAGTTGAAAATTTAACCAAAAGCATTACACAGGCTTCTGAGGATTTAAGGTAGAGTACTCCAGTAGTCAATTTTGGCGTCAGCGAACTAATTCAAGGTTTTGGGTGCTTTGTCTCCTCCATTCTGTTGCTGCATGTTTGCATGTGTACGCGTTTTTATGGTCAAACATATGTTGAATCTTGGAATAGTTCAGCTAAGTTTCTGAAAATCATGTAGAAGTTGAAACATACTCAAAATGTAGTATATAAAATGTCTGATTTTTGAAGCGTCTTCGTAATGCTTTAATTCTTCCATTCTATTGAAGAAACCAAGCTTTTCGTTTGTGGATGTGTCCAGCCTGGCCCAGTGACTAAAAGGGTGTCGTTGATGTTCATTGGATGCATCCATTGGTCAGCTTGTAGTTTGCTGATAATTATGGATAATATCTTTGGTTCTGTTTAGTTTTCTAATATGATAAATGTATTCCTAATATGCGGATGACAAAAATTAGACTTTCTAATTTGATCGGGGAGAACTAATGTACTTTGGTCTTAGAAGCATATATTAAATGGCTATTGGCTCACACGGTTTTATATGTAAAACTCTACAGAAGGGTGCATTCTTCCGTTATGACTCCTGAGAACACAGAATTAATTCAGAAGTCTATATATACCCCCATTTTCACTTTGAAGAACTTTGAGGTGGGTTGTCTTCGCAATGCTTCAATTCTGATTCTACACTTCTTTTACTCATTCATCCTATATCTCTTTATTCTAATGGCCGCTGGTAATTGTTTCCTCTTGATGTCACTCAACATTTGCAGAGTATAAGTTCAGATATATTAGGATTTACTGGTGATGAAGTTACAAGGCAGAATTTGAAATTGCTTATTAAGTCACTCAGCAGGCTACTATGAAGATGGAAAATATTCTAAGTCAAATTCAAAGTTCAGGCAGTTGATTATTGCTAATGAGGTTTCTACCATGACATCCTCTTATTTATAGTTGCCAGAAAGGCTCCGTATAATAGATATGTCGATATTTTGTGCATTTGGTCACGGAATTGATTTGGTGTGACACCCTCAATCCTCATCCTTCGGCAACTTATGTTTGCTGTAAATAACACTTTCAGCTGCCTCTCTCTCAAGTTTTCGAATACTAATTGCTGTGTGGTGTCTAGTCTTGGAAATTTGATAGTAAAACAAAATTTACCCAATTGGTGTAAAATTAGCTAGCGCTCCATTACATTTTGGACAGCACTCGCTTTCTGCAGCAACTATTGTAAAGGCATTATTTAGAGGCCAATTAATTTTCAGAAAATTCTTCAATTAATGCTTATTTTTGTACTTGATATGATTCTCTTGAATAAGAAAAAGTAAACGTGTTTAGATGATGTACGTTGGACAGATTCCATTTTGTTCCCCCCTTCACTGCATTGCGAATTTCTCTGGTTTTTGTAATCTGTAGAATGATGCAAGCTTGATCTACAATTCCATAGGTAAAATGCCTCAAATTTATCGGTAGATTAGTTTAGTAACAGCCGGATTTTTACTGGAGAATTTTATGTTTTATCAGTGATCTCTTTTAGTGTTAGTAAATCTCAGCTGACTAATAGCAAGTTGAAGAGACACAAGACCATGAAACCTTATGATTTAAGGTTTTGGCATTTGGCCTAAAGAATTTAAACTTTCTGACATACAAATCAGCGATGAGATGATCGTTCTCAGGTGTTACAATTCTCGGCCATCTCAAACTCTGTGCAACTTACAAGATAACAAGAACCAACTTCATGTGACTGACCACATTGTTCTAATGTGCCTTTTAAAGTCGTATATATGTATATCATAAGCATGCATCATATGCATGATGTTTGTTTATTGAGTGTCAGTTTATTCCATGTCATCCCTTCCTACTTTTCGGATGATGAATGCAAGATTATTAGAGTCGACTACTTGTGGTGAGACAAACTTAGTTACTACTGACACATTCAAATTTGACTTCGTTTTGAAATAAAAACATTTAATTTAATTTTCTTATGCTTTATTAAGTACAGAAAAATTCTACAAATTCTTTTCATACAAAAGTGATAAATCTTTATTAGTTTAAAGAAAAGTTTAATTGCTGTTCTGCATTTATGATTTGAAGATAATTAAATGATAATACTTTTTTGAGTCTAAGGTATCTATTTTAGCTACTGTTTGACAATCATTAATGGAGAAAACAAAGTTTTGAATAGACTTTTTTAAGAAAATGTGTGATTAAAAAGTAGACAAGTTTTTTATTTATGTGTAAAATATTTTATTGTGTAAATGTGATTGAAAATGAACATGTAGAATAAAGAATTTTAAAATAATGATTGCCAAATAGGAGCTTAGCACGTGACAATCTCGATGGACAACAAAGGTTCCATAGGCATTGGAAGGCACGCATGTTGTTGTTCGTAAGCTTATATGATCACTGTAATGAGATTCATGCCAAAAGATTAAAATGATAAATATTTTGAGATAGTTAGACATTAATGTGTGAACTTCGAGGATGATTCCATAAAGAGAAAATTATTGTAAACCGTATACATGTTCACATGTACTGTTACTAGTTGAATATTCGCTCAAATATTTTTGCATTGTAGGTGTGACCATATACTAGAAATTGGTGTCAATTCTCCTAAGATGGGAAGATGGAATATTGAGTGCTTGACCGTGGTTCGGTGGGTCTATCATTTGAAAAACTTGAAAAATGTAATAAATGATTCTTTTGTAATTATTTAACTTGTAGAAATGATTTATTAAAAATTGTAATGTTAATTTCCGATGTCTTTCTTAAATAAACAACTATATTTCTTTTATTAGATAAGAGTTAATTTAATATTAATAAAATAATGTTAAAAATGTTTATTATTTTAAATATATCTATTCTAAAATAAGATAAAAATTTCATGTCAAACACCTATGTTGTTTATAGTTATACAATATTATTAACGATTTGAAAGTCACTTCAAGAGCGGAATCATAGCGGTTTGATATATTCTTAGAGAATCCTTTTACATGGATTTTATCAAGACATACCAATGAAGTTAGTTAGGAAATAATTTGAACAGTCAACCCTTCACACCCCCCAACGGTCAGAACACCATAACCCTCTATAAAACCAGTCTCTCCACCCGAGTTTCAGAATCACTCTAACATTCTGTCAGACTTATTCTCTCTCTTGTTTGTAAGATGGTGATGAATAAGGAAAGTGACGCCGTGATGAAGAAGAAAACTCTGGGTAGAAGGAAAATTGATATGAAGAAAATTGAGAGGTTGAGCAACCGGCAGGTGACTTTTTCTAAACGCCGAGTCGGACTCTTCAAGAAAGCGAGGGAACTTTGTGTTCTGACTGGCGCCGAAATCGCTATTATTGTACAATCGGTAGCCGGAAAACGTTTCTATGCTTTCGGGCACAACAACGTGGATTCCGTAATCGATCGTTTTGAGAACGGAAGTCCTGTTGGTTCTGTGGAAAACACTGGAAAAACACCAGACCATGGGAAGGATTATTCTGGGATTTGTAAGGAGTCGGAGGCGGAGAACAGGGTGATTGACGGTGGCGGGTTCTGGTGGGCTGAGAAGGTGGACGGACTTGAACTGGAGGAACTTGAGAGGTACAATGCGGCATTGGAGGAATTGATGAAGAATTTGGACAAGAAAGCACATTCCTCGTTTGTTTGATTGATTATCTTAGGTATCAATTTTTTGTATTATCTTTAGAAAGATAAATTTAGGTTCTTGTTAATACGAGAATTGATTGATGTAATAAAACGAATTTCAAATTAGTGTATTAGTTTCTTGGGTTAATTTTACGTTTTTGATCCAATTTCTTGTTGCAAATTTCAAGCTGTAATATAGTACTAATATAACAAGATTTATGTTTGGTTTTATTCATTCTGGGATTGTTGTTTTTCTTTTTTAATTTGTAGAGAAAACATTAATCCAATTTCATCGGGTTGTGTGTGATCCGAAAGTCCCTGTGGTTGAAGGGTATGTTTTAAAAAATAAGGTTGGATTTTATTTTTACGCTAAAAACGATCACCCGAAATCAGGCAAACGAGATTTACGAAAAGACATAAGCAGCACAGTTACTGCTATTTTTCTACCTGCAATTGGCCTTATAAATATTTTTTTGGCAATTTTTATTTATTTATTTTTTAAAAACATGATGAAAAAATAAGTTGTTTAACGTCATTTTGATAGATTTTTGGACATAAAACTGTTATCATATACAAGATGTGTTAATTAATGAAACTTTGAGGATTATGACATGAAAAATCGTCAGGATTGAACCTGATCCAAGATTTGTGTTCAAGTTTGATGAGGAGCCAGAGTGTAGTCCAAAAGTTTTTCAGGTCAATGGGAATGTTAAGCAGTCCGTTTTTACTTGCAATTTCAGGCTCAGGAATTCAGGGTAGAGGAATTTGAGATGCTGCAGGTCAATTGTTTTGTTATTGATTTGAATTCTTGGAACTTTTTCTTAACTTGATTTTGATCAATAATCAAGTCTTTATAGATAAGGGAAAATTTTGATTTTTGTATAATCTGGTGTATAAAAGGGGATCTCATATGTTACATCTTCCAATGCACGAGCAATTCTGTTGGACCCATTAGAGTCTAATCATACACTACGCTTATGTCTCAACGCCAGATTACTAATATTCATACTGATTAGCTAGGCTCAAATCCAGGGGCATGGCTCATTCTTCGGCACTGCCACAGCACTTGGAAGCCTTGGGGGCGGCTTGAGGCCTGGCAGGAAGGCAATGGCATTGATGTCCTCGGCTACCACTTTGAACTCATCTCCGAGGGCGGCATAGACAATAGACCACTAGCCAATTCGACTATTAGTACAAAAAATGGTGGAAAATTCAGCATTGGTGTAACCACTGGTTCAACCCCAATGAATAGTCCTAATAGTTGCTTTGATCTTAGTTCAGGGTCCAGTTCTGGATCAGAATTCAGATCAACGACAGGATCTGGATCTTGGGCATATATGTTCTACAGAGGCTTTGTCATGTCAGCTACATTTGAGGGCGAAGGGAAATGCAACCGGCCAGAAGTGTAAGTTGGGAAGCAGCACGTTACGTGAATGGAGGATGCAGCAGCTTTTTTGGCATTGGCTGCTGCCATTGATCTAAGCATGGATGCTTGTTGATTATTCTCTCAGAAACTCAAGAAAGAACTGAGACAATTCAATCTCGAATAATGCTATTTGTGCTGCATCATTTCGTGTGGCTGCATTCGGGATTTGATTCTTTGATCTGCAATTTCTAGCTGTATTTTGTTCGAGTGTACAGTTTTTAGCAGGTGTGTGTGTTTTTTTGTTATCCGTGTAATTGAGTTCTTTGCTGATAGAATGGAATTCGAAGTTTCTGGTTATTGGTACAAAAATAAAAACATTGGTTTCTGTAACGTTGCACTTGGCCTATTTGAAGTGGCTAGTCAAGGTATCACCGACATTAAACCGATGACCTCGAGCTGAGGTCGGAGCTCAGAGAAAACAGAAGTCATCGAGCTCTTTCGTCTCAAATGGAATGTTGAGCTAGAGAGGCTGACGCTAAAGTTAAGGCAATACGGTGTTCTCGAAGCCAGACCGAACTACAACGCCACAAGGCACTAAAGAAGAATGTCTTGTTGACGAGGGACACCCAACAAAAATTTGAAAGTAATCAGATTGAATTGTTCTTCTTGAGTCAATCTATTTTCCACCTTTTAGCTTGGTATGTTTTTATTCGCTTTTCTAAGTGGGGTGGTTCATGGCTAGGGCACAACGTCCACACTAGATTGAATCAAACAGAGTATCACTGAGAATTCTGCTTATGAACTGTCTGTTTCTTTGCATAGTGATAGAACCAATCGGACAAGAGACATATAGCTAAGCCCTAAACTAACTTGCTTTGCTTTTTCAACCATTGGTGGTACGATCCTATAAACTCTTAACGAACTTGTGGGGAATCTGTAGAACTTGGTAGTATAAAATTAGAATATGCACTCAGTTCCCATCTCTAGGGAACAAACTTTAGATCAAGGAAAGAACAAGGAGAGAACAAGGAAGCAAAACTCCGACGGAAAAAGAAAAAAGATATCGATTATACAGATTAAAACCTTAAAGAACGTACCCTTGACTACGTTTTACAGCAAAGTCGAAATTGTATTTTCAAGACAGTGATTGGTATTCACAAGAACGAACACCACATTTGCAAAAGGAAAAGAGAGAAAACTTCATTAACTTCTTTCTGTTGCAGCATCTTCGATGCTAGTTCCTGTAGTTTGTATATCCGGGAGGGTTTCAAGATCAGTGCAGACATCTTTCTCGTCCAAGGAATTGGATGGATCAGATGAAATGATAGGATCATGTTGAACTTCCTCAGAAGTCTGGTCAGAGAATTCATCCGTTCCACCATAGGTATCTGATTTCTCAACCCCAGTAGCATCATTCTTTTCTGTTAAAGATTCAATGTTATTTCCTGCTTCTACAGATGACTTCAATCTGATATTTTTTGATACAGATGACTCTAAACTATTAGATGAATTGGAGAACTCTCCCGAGGTTGATTCCGAGTCTTTATTTTTGACAAGTATTGTTGAATTAGAATCAACATGATTATTATCCTCATCTGAAGTGGAATTATTGGCCTCCCCTGATGTTGTACCCTCACCGGACCCTATCTGACCATGATTTAATTTAAACTTGCTCTCGGTTCCATTCAGCAAGGACGGATCACGACTCTCCATTCTCACCTCTGACAAATTGTTGCTTGTTTCTCTATGATCAATTGTCCCTTCAGTCAATGTTGTATTTAAAAGTGAGCTGCTCTCAGAATTTTTTTTCAGATTCTCCTCTGCCTCATTGGTTGTCACTTTTAGCCACATCCCCATCATTCACCTCTAAATCTGATATTTTGTCACCTAAATTGATTCCCTCACCATCGTTCTCCTTATTTTCCCTTTCTAAAATGTTGGTTTTGGGCCGCTCCTTCATGTTTTCAAAGCTTCCATTCTCCTTTTCAAGATCGACGACTTGATTATCATGTGCCACAGCACTAGAAGCATCGTCAGCTTTGTAATTTTCCTCGCGTGCTTCATGTGCACAATGATCATCTCCATCATGATCACTGTCCTCCAAAGAACCTTTCTCCATTTCACCATTATTCTCTTCAGAATATTTTTCTTCTGCGCTGTTCTCATCACCCTCATGTCCTGACTTCCCTTCGTCTATAAATTCCACCTCTATCAATTTCTACATCCGATTTCTCATGTTCGTGCTCATTTATTTCGTCCTCTTCACCTCCCGTCCCTTCATCTTCGTTCTGTCCAACTTTCTTGATATCTTGCTCTATCTTTTTCATGCTTCTTGTCTTCTACTTCTTCAATGGTTTCCTGTTCTATTGCTGCTTCGTCATGTTTCCCATTCTCATATAGAAAGTGACGAGCATTATAATGTATTGTGATGATTCCGGATTGGTAACCCCGAACTAGACCTGAATTTGCCCACGATGCTCGACCTCGACCTAAGACTCCTGAGTTAATCTTAGTGTGTTACGCCGGTTTGAGGTCAGGGTTTCCTCTTATCCGATGTTGCCCACCGACTTAATCTCCAAAAAAAAAAAAAAATAGACCCCACCTAAGTCTTCTCCTTCCCTGATTAGAACTTTAATAATATACTTCTAACCAAACTCCGACACCTAGTCCTAAGGGAAAAGGACTCTTTCAATAATAGAATCCTTCTACAGCTCCCCCACCAACACCTATAAATACTTGGTGAAGGCTCAACATCAAGGTACGTTTTCATTATCTTCAGTTTATAGCCTCACGTACTAAATTCCCTATCTGACTTAAGCATCGGAGAGGCGACGAGCACACACCTCGTTGCCTTTGTTGCAGGTATTCACAGACCGATTGTGTTCATCAAAGTGAAGTTGGACCATCAAGCTCGAGATCTTTTAGGTGATATTTTTTGGTAGCATCATTGGCGCCATCCGTGGGAAGTGCTACCAAAAGCCATGGTGAATACATGATCAGGTCTTCCACCAGCAAGCTCATCCGCTCCAAATTCTCCCCCTGGAGATCATCCTATCCCTCAAGAGGAATCATCAGAGATGGCAGCACCGCCACCGATTGTCATTACCACCGGAGCTTTTGAAGAGCTCCGCCAACAAGTTACCACATTGACTCAGTTATTAAGCCAAAGAAACTTACACCCATCACATTCACCAACACCGGATTGCGATCTTATGGCAGCTGCTCAAGCTCCAGCTCCACAAAACATCCTTGATGATGGTGTTGGAACCTCGGGTGTACTTCCTATGACCGCAGCATCAAGGGCAGTAACGATAGAGTCAGGGGAGCTTGCCAGAATCATCCAAGAAGGTATTGCTGCGAGCCTAGCACAGAAATCAAAGGGGACAACAGGCTTTACCCCTAGCACTCCTTTTACTCCTGAAGTACTGTCCTACCCCCTTCCGGATAGGTTCAAGTATCCCAGGATAAAGGAATATGATGGGACCACTGACCCTATCAACCACCTCAATATATATACCGATATCATGAACCTACAGGTCGCACCTGACGCTGTAATGTGCAAAGCCTTCCCTCAAACTCTTACGAGCACAGCTAGAGATTGGTTCTCCACATTAGAGCCAAACTCTATCTCCTCATTCGCAGACTTGGTTGATAAATTCTCCGCTTTCTTCGCAAGCAGCAAGCGAATTAGGAAAACAGTGGCATCACTTATGCAGATGCGCCAGGGACCTAATGAAACATTACGCAATTTCATGACTAGATTCAATAAAGAAAGACTTCAGATTCCCGATCTACATATTACAGCTGCGGTCTTAGCTTTGACATACGCTATAAGATGCGAAGCATTCAAGATGTCTTTGTCAAAAACCCCCCCAAAGTCAGTAACTGACCTCCTAACTCGAGCTAAGAAATACATCAATATGGAAAAAACTCTAACCCCAAGAAAGGACGTTTCACCTTTACTAAGGCCAGACAACAAGAGACCGCATGAACCCAATCAAGGAGACGACAATCCTCGGGTCAAGTAAAGACAAAACCCCCGACCAGAAACTTTTACTCCCTTGAATACATCAAGGTCCAACATCCTGATGGAGATCAAGGACCTCAAAGAGCTTAAGTGGCCTCCTAGAATGCGATCATTACCTGAAAACAGAGACAGAACCAAGTATTGTGACTTCCACCGGGACCACGGACATACCACTGAGGGATGTTTGGCTCTGAAGCAACAAATTTACGCCCTCATCAGGAGGGGTTTTTTGGGTCTTACACTAGCCATGAAAAACGCCCGAGGAACAATCAGAATAACATACATGGAGGGCGTGGTAGTGAACCACCAATGACAGGTACTATTAACGTTATTATCGAAGGAACAGCTTCAGGAGGAGACACCAACAGTGGACGTAAGAAGTATGCCAACAGCTTCCAGTCTTTTCCAACACGGATCTTGCTCATACAGAAGATATCACCTTCGGGTCCAAGGATTTGGAAGGAATATCCTTCCCCCATGATGACGCCCTAGTCATATCGGCTATCATAGCTAACTTCGAGGTCAAGAGAATTCTTGTGGATAACGGAAGTGCAGCTAATGTACTGTCTCATGAAGCTTTAGTTCAGATGGATATCTCAGTGGATCAACTTAAGCCTGTTAAAATACCCCTCCAAGGATTTGGTGGCGGGGTCATCACCCTTGAAGGTGTTGTTGGATTACCCATGACCTTGGGATCTGAAGGTCAGCAGGTAACCCATAGCCTACAACGCCATTCTGGGAAGACCATTGCTAAATAAAATCAGAGTTGTTATCTCAACTTTTCACCTGGCGATGAAGTTTCCCACATATAGTGGAGTTGGAGTCGTCCGAGAAAGCCAAACCATGGCATGCCAGTGCTACGTGACTAGTGTCCGAAAAATAAAGAACGACGTCATGCAGCTTTCAAAGCTCGAGCTCGAGCTTGAAAATCGTGGAAGACTCGCCCCGGTAGAGGAGCTGGTCGAGCTCGAGCCTGGTAGGAAGGTTACAGTAGGGCGTGACCTTGATTCAACCATCATGGCTAAACTCATAAGTTGTCTTTACCAAAACCAAGACGTATTCGCATGGACAGTTGAAGACATGCTCGGAATTGACCCCGAGGTTGCCGTACACAGGCTCAATGTAAACCCAGGAGCCAAACCTGTCAGACAAAGGAAAAGACAGTTTGCACTCGAACGGCGCGATGTCATAGAGAAGAGATTGCCAAGCTCCTCAATGCACAATTCATCCGAGAAGTGCAATATCCTGACTGGCTCGCTAATGTAGTTCTCGTAAAAAAGGCCAATGGAAAGTGGCGAGTTTGCATTGACTTCACTGATTTGAACAAAGCATGTCCGAAAGATAGCTATCCCCTCCCCCAGATTGATAGTCTCGTTGACAGCACTTTGGGTCACAAATTGTACAATTTTTTAGACGCATTCTCAGGGTACCACCAAATACCAATGGCCACAGAAGATCAAGAGAAGACCTCATTCATGGCAGATTTCGCCATCTATTATTATAAGGCCATGCCATTCGACTTAAAGAACGCAAGGGCTACATATCAGAGGCTAATCAACATGGTCTTTGCTAATTTAATTGGAAAAACCATTGAGGCTTACGTAGATGACATGGTGGTCTCGAACTTGAAGAAGTGTTTTCCACTCAGCGGAAATACAACATGAAGCTCAACCAAACAAAATGTGCCTTTGGGGTAGCATCAGGAAAGTTTCTACGTTTCATGATCACAAATAGAGGAATAGAAGCTAACCCTGACAAGATCCAAGCCCTAATATCTATGGAAGCCCCAAAGAGCAAAAAGGACATCTAAAAGCTTACAGGTCGGGTAGCAGCATTGAACAGATTTGTCTCTCGGGCAGCGGATAGATGTTTTCCCTTCTTTAAAGTTCTGAGAGGCCACAAGAGCTTTGAATGGAATGATGAATGCGATCTAGCCTTCCAACAGCTTAAGTAAACTTTAGCTATACCTCCAGTTCTTGCCAAACCAGAGCCTGGTGATACTTTGTTCCTTTCCTTGGCTGTTTCTTGAAACGCCGTAAGTGGGGTACTAGTAAAGGAAAAAGGAAAGGTGCAACAACCCATCTACTGTGTCAGTAAAGTACTTCTTGACACCGAGACTCGGTATAACCTTGCGGAACAGTTAGCTCTTGCCTTGATAGTAACTGCTAGAAAGTTACGACAATATTTCCAATCTCACCCCATAATAGTTCTCACCAATCAACCACTCAAGCACATACTTCAGAGGCCAGATGTCTCGGGAAGGTTATTAAAATGGAAGATCGATTTGGGCGAGTTCGACATAGAATTCAAGCCTCGACCTTCCATCAAAGCACAGGCACTGGCCGACTTCATAGCTGAACTCATTCCAAAGACAGAAAGGCCCGAAGTAAAAAACCCGAGCATGGCCTCAAAAACCTAGGAGATATTTGTTGATGGGGAGTCAAATAGCTCGAGCTCGGGGGCCGGGATAATTATCATCAGCCCGGACAAGACCACTGAAGTTCAATGTGGGCTTAGGTTTGAGTTTGAAACAACCAACAACGAAGCGAAATATGAAGCTGTGGTCATTGCTCTCGAACTTGCCAGGAATTTGGAATTAGAGCACATCAGAGTTTTCAGCGACTCACAGCTCGTTGTTGGACAGATTGAAGGATCCTTTGAAAGAAAAGATGAAAAGATGAGCTTGTACTGTCTAAAAGTGCATGACCTTCAAAGACAGTTCACAAGTTGTGAAATATTGAAAACAGCAAGAGCAGATAACTCCAAAGCTAACGCACTATCCAGACTCGTTTTCATGAGGATAGATGGACTCGACAGAACAGTGCACATCAAGATTGTCACAGAGCCTACCATAAACACAAAGCCGAGCATCATGGACATTGACCATGAGCCTTCCTGGATTGATCCAATAGTTTAGTATATAAGTAATGGAGACCTACATCCTGACCCTCGCGCCGCAAGAAGAATTCGGGCCAAAGCTGCTAGGTATTGCATTATCAGAGGGTGCTGTTTCGACGAAGTCTCACACTTCCCTATCTGAGATGCCTAAAGCCTTTCGAGTCTCTCCAAGCCCTGACTGAGGTTTACGAGAGAATATGCAGAAACCACCAGGGAGCTAGGGCCCTGGCCTACAAATTAATAAGGTATGGGTACTACTGGCCAACTATAAAAAAAGATGCAGCTGAATATGTTAAAAGATGCGACAAGTATAAGAGGTTTGGTAATGCTATACATGCCCTTGCAAAAGAGTTGACCTCTATCCGTTATTCAGCACCATTCGAA